GAACCGTCATATGGTCGACCCATCCGTTTATACTGCTCCACTCTCTGTTTAAAATAGGGCTTTGAAATTTTGCACATACATTGCTATTATTCTTAGGATGTTGGCCATATAGGTTTATATTGTAATATTGCCCCCATTGTAGATAGCGTCCGAGGTGTGTTATTTCGAATATTATAGCTGCATTTTTTAATCCATATGGATGTAATTGACATTTGAAGTTCCTGGAAAATAAAAAACCTCTTTGTATATGCTTTGATAAAGCCCAAAATGGTAAAACCCATTACTGATATTTTTAAGGTTTTCCAATCGCTGTGGCTGTAATGCGGGTAGAATTACGAACGTCATTGTTAAAAAGGATAAAAAATTAAAATAAGTCCACAAAAACTAACAGCACTTCTGTATGTTTTCACAAATATTGACATATTTTCAACATGTTTTTAGCAAGAACCTGGCATGCTAAATTACAGCCTTGGAAATGCAGATGAAACCCTCTAGTAACCGAAAGTGGACACGGACCTTTAAAACCCCTAAATGCCAAATTATTAATTTTTTCGTTGAAAAATACGCTTAGAAGCCTGTAAATGGAATGAGACCTTTATATGGGAGACATGTCAAGACATGGATTTAAAGGATTTATTTTCTGTGCAGATGTATGAAAGGTTCGAAAGGCCTTTAAAATACCGGAAATTGGGGGATTTCATATGGGGGTTTTGTGTAAACATTGACTTGTGTTGATAATTTTCTGTGTAGATGTTTTTGCCTCCACTAACTCGGTATGGAAAATCTGAAAAAAAACCTTCAAAATAACTAAACATTTTGCGGTATCCATATATGGGAGCTATAACAAAACGTGAACCGATATTCCCCATTTGCAATACCAAACATCCTAGAAGCAGTGGCAAAATAAATATTGTGATCTCAATCCTAATTCCAATAGACAGACGGCTAAATCGACATAGAGTTTTATTCTAATCAAGAAAATATAAACTTTATGTGATCTCCGACGAATCTTTCGAGGTGTTGCAAACGTAATGACAATTTTAATACATACACGATCTTATGGTGGAAGGTATACACATTTTTCATTGTATACCCTCCACCTTAATTGGCTTGGACGCTATATAAAGTTACAAATTATTTTTCTTGAAGTTTCTTGTTGAATTTTCTAAACTGAATTATTATATATATGTCGGATACAAATTTTTCTATTCGATCAATTTTGAGTGTAGGGTCCATGTTTAAACATAGCCTCCATATAAGGTTTCTACCAATTTAAGTTATATTTTAGTATGCGCACATCTTCGTTATTACATTTTGAATAGCACCGTAAAACCCAATGACAAAAACACTTTTGTTTTTTCAAAGTTCAATTAATTTAATTGATACCGATTATAACTAAGCCTGGCGACGGGTATTAAAGATTCCATTCGGAATTTTGTATCGTTTGGATAAGAGTGGCATCATTGGGACCTATACCTTAATCTGAACCTGGGGGAAGCATCATACCTTCTTTCACACGTTTATATCTTGTTCCCAGGGGACATGAGGGAAGTCCAAAATATATCGTATTCCTATCGAAAATATGATATTCTCCGAATAATACAGCGAATGCATATTAGAGTGCGAAATAGCCGTCATTGCCTACGCTAGCCCTTCTATAGTTTATCTTTTCATATATTCCCATTTATATTCAAAAAATAACAAAATTGATTGTCAAAAGTCACAGGCAACCCGTGAGTGTTCTGAGGTGTAGTGGGGGAGGGGTGAATTGTGCACACTAAACCCTCAAATCAGATTTATGAATGATGGACAGTGGTTTACTTTGGATAGACTAAAATATATGAATGAACATGTGAATGAATCGTGGTGAGACAAAAAGCTTGCACACACACATAAATAATATCATTGACACCACATCAACACGGTGTTAAGCTGGACTGACCAAACAGCAGTAGCAGCATGCAAACCAATGACAGTTCATCTTCTCTAGCACCGACCAGACATCATCATAATCAGTAGCATTATTATCATTGACCGGACAGCAGCAACCACAATTCTTTTTTACTCTGTATGTTGGTGTGTGTGTTTGGGTTTCAATTCAATTATTCAATTTACAAAAAAGAACGGTAGGGAGAAAAAGAGAGAGAGTGGCCACACAGACTCACATTCATGGTCCATGGAGAATACTTTTTAGTTGAGTATGAACAAAAGTAAAAAACCCAAATCATTTATTATCCATTTATCATTATGTCCGGACGTGCAAAATTTCGAATTTAAAAATAAAAATCTGTGGAAAAAATCCGAAAAAAAACATTTCAACAACGTAGCACTACTACTTTCGGGAAGTACAGTGTAGTGTAGTGATAATCACTGTCTACGTTTGTTGTTGTCGTTTTTTCTGTAGTTTTTAATTTTCCTATAACAATTATACATTTCAAACATTCATTAGCATATTGTAATCAAGCTCAATTAGCCTCACTAATGTCTCGTTCAAATTCAACTTGCAGTACTGCCACGGATTCATTGCCATCAACATCTTCATCGGCCTCGACCAGCGATACTCGTGCCACAGCATCTTCGGCACTGACAACAGCAGCAGCAACCACGACATCCCTGTCGTATCGTGATGAACAGCCGCAGGCAATTGTAAGCACAGCTCAAAAATTACCGACAGGTCGTCAAATGAGTAGTCATCATCACTATCATCTGCCCCACCAATTTCAGCATCCCCACCATCAGAATCATCATCCCCATTCGCATGGGGTAGCGGTGCCCACTCCGACGGTGCCAGCTTCTTACACCAGTTCAAGTCTGTTACACGAATCGCGGCATATTCGAGCGGCCAGCAGCAGTGGCGATGAGGCAATACGAACCGCACTTACCTCACCGGCCACCACGGTAACACCTTCGACGAATCTCTTGGTATCACCGGAAACAGTATCTCACACATCGTCAGTATCGCCTGCCAAATTATCGGCACGTATACGTGAATCGGGTTCACAGCATCGTGTAACTATCGATGAATCCAATTTGCCCGTGGCCTCGCAATTGACTTGTGGCGGTGATGATGGCGGCGGCGACGGTGGTGGTGAGGGCGGTAACGGTGGTTCGGGTCCTCCATCGCCGGGTATGTCTTCACAGCAGCAGCTGACAGGCGACGAACGACAGACTGGTCATTTAGCGTTAATGTATCACTCTAGTCAGCTGTCCAGTTATCCAGTGTTGCCAGCCATCAAGAGAACACATCGTCCTTCGTTTATCTATCCACCGATGCCGAGAGTTAAAAAGTGAGTATATTTTCATAGATATGAGTTATTTATTTATTGGTGTTGTGAAATCTTGAAAGTGAAATGTTTAGAAATGTAAATATATTTTGTGAATGGAATACATTTCCGGTAATCGTCAAAAGTAAGGGAGTCGAATAGAGTATTTTAGTGTTTAGTTCCTTCAAAAAATTATCTTGTTAAACTTCGCCCGGTTATATGATATGTGATTTTATTTTTGTGACATTGTGAAAAATTTGATGTTTCGACTGAATTTGGAGTAGATCTCTCAATATGAAGTGAACAATACGGTGGAGTGTATAAAATGTGTCATTCAGTATGCAAAGATCGAAATATTCGAAATAAACTATTATATAAACTATCTACGATGTTTGGCGTTGACAAAGTTATATATCCAGATGTAGCCATCATATAAAGGTTCCCCCAAATATGGGCACGTATGGGCACGATTGGCAATAAATTGATAATTTGGGATTTCAATGTGTAGAAAATCTTCTAAAAAAATTATCCCCCTACGAACCCCCCCTTGATAATTAATAATTTGGGATTTCAATGTGTAGAAAATCTTCTAAAAAAATTATCCCCCTACGAACAATTTTCAATATTTGGATCCATACAATGCCACCCCCATTTCATTAAGTGCCAAATCTTCCTACAAATCGGTATCGACCCACATTCATCTCGAACGTAAACAAATTTGTTCGAAAAACAAATTGACGATATAACTCCATTATTCGACATTACCACCCCCACATAAAGGTTCCGCCCATTCTCGTTTACCATTTTGGCTTTTTGAAGTGTAAAAAACTTTTTCTCTAAAATTTGTGAATACATGTCCACGTTTTGACTTAACCTCCAGATGCCGCGCATTTTCGGTATGTTAATGAACCGAAATAGCCAAATTTCCAACCTAAGTTGTTTGCTTAGTATTTCGTTTTCTCAGAGGATAAAAATCACATTGTAGTCCCATAATTTTGGTATGTCGCATGTCCGTCTGACCATGTTTTATAATAAACAACGTGCAAGTCCCTCTTATCATTCATATGTGATAAGATTTGGTTCGATTCAGTGTTTCCGCACCAACAACAAACCGCATTTAAATTAAAGGGACTATCCACTTTCTCGGTTTCAAAACCCGATTTTTTTATACCCTACATAACTATGTTGTAAGGCCTTGTGAGCCCCAAGAGTTTGTAACACCGCGAAATATCATATCTCAAATAGCTTAGTCGACCTAGACATGTGTGCTTGACCGTCAGCCCATTATAATTTGTAAACACGATACAGGCCACTGCTACAATCGACGAGAAATTTTGCATGTAGGACGGTCAAAGAAAACCTCCATTATTTTTGATAGCGATCGGTTAATATTTAGGGCATAAAATGGGCCAAGCATTTTATTGTTTCGGGGTTTCTGGTCGGTCTAGAGGCTACAAGTTTTACCTGAACATCAAGAAATTTTACATAGAGGAAGGGATATGACCATGGAATACGCGTGACTGTTTTGATGGAGTTCAATATGGACCTAGACTTTTGTGTGAAAAATTGCAAAAATTATATTCTATGGCGTATATATTTACACCTTAAGGACATGGATCCAAGAGGAGTGGTTGATACGAATTATATTGTTGTATGTACACGGATTTGAAGAACAGAAAAACACCCGTTTTTTAAATGCCATTAATCCCCTAAAAATTCATATTACGACCATACCTAGGCCAGTGTACCTCTGGCAGACTCAAAAATCTTATAAGGGTATAAAAATATATTTTTATACCCTTCACCACACTGTGGTACAGGGTATTATGTCTTTGTGCATATGTTTGTAACAGGCAAAAGGAATCGAGATAAACACATGGTTCCTTTTGAGAACATGCATAGAATCACTTTCTAAGTCGATTTATGCATGTTCGTCCGTCCGCTTGTCCATGTTAAATTGTAAACAAAGTACAGGTCGCATTTATTATTCGAATTGGATGAAATTTGGCACAGCTCATTCATTTTACGCAAGAACGAACCCTATTGGGAAAAATCGGTTCAAAATTAAATATAGCTCCCATATATATTTTCGTCCGATTTAAGGTAAATGGTGTACCAAAGTCCCTAAATAGCTTTCGATTTGCCCGAAATTTGGCACAGCGTACTGAATTGAGCCTAGAATGATGTGTGCTAAGTTTCGTGAATAACGGTTCAGATTTAGATATAGCTCCCATATATATTTTCGTCCGATTTAAAGTAAATGGTGCACAAAAGTCCGATTATATTTTTCGATTAGCACGAAATTTGGCATAGCGTACTGAATTAAGTCTAGATTGATTTGTGCTAAGTTTCGTGAAGAACCGTTCAGATTTGGATATATAAGTTCGTAGGATTTTACCTAAATGGTGCACCAAACTCCTAATGTTTGTCCGATTAACACGAAATTTTGCACAACGTATTAAATTGAGACTTGAATGACGTTATTGGGTTTTGTTGAAATTGGTGCAGATCCAGCCATAGCTTCCATATGTACTTCGAACGGGTGTCTGATTGAGATTAAATTTTTAACAGTGCGGCGTACCGAATATCGTGTATGAATTAGGCTATAAATAATTTTCCATAAATTTCCTATGATACGCAGACGACTCGAAATTTGGCCGAATTAAATTTAATTTATCATAGGTGGCAGAAAGACATGAGTATGTTCATTCGAGGGAATATAGACATACAATTTTAAGGATACATATGTGCAGTATACCTATGTGGTGAAGGGTATCATATAGTCGGCCCAGTCCGAACCGCTTTCTAGGCTACAAAACTAGTACTACCACCAACAAAGAATGTTTTATTTTAATTTAAGTGATCTTTACTCCCTTCCCAGCTGGGATTGACAACAAACTGAAGTTGTACCATGAAATAGGTTCCTGAACTTTTGTGCAAGAATTAATTTTTATACATGGTACTGAGTTCGTACTGAACCAGCAGGATCAGGTAGATCTGTTGAATTTTGTTCAGATTTTGATAGGAATTACTTTTCATTTTGCAAGTATACGTAGAAAGGTTATTATTCCTTCCGCGATAAGAATTCATATTAATTACTCTCAGTTTTCCCACAGGGATTACACATTTTCTTCCCGTTTTTTCATTTATCCTCACCTCACAAAAGATGAGTGTCAACGTAATTTTCTGAATGAAGAAGCTTCCCATTCTTAATTTTGTTACATTCACACAAAGAAGAAGAAGTCATAAATCTTCTACTTTCCATTCACTAATCAAATATGAATGAGCAAGTATGTGTGTGCAAATGTACTATTTGGATAATAAATGAATGTAGGAGACGTGTGAATATGCAAAACAGTAAGAAAATAAAGGAAAAAAACGGCGATGGCATGTCTGTAAAAGCAATCTAAGGCAATAAAAAGACAAATAAGCGAATGATTTATGGATTTTTTTCTTCGTGTGTTTAATGGTGTGTGTGTCTGTATTTGAGTATGTGTTAAGTTGTAGACAGTTGCAAAGTGTATTTCCTGAGTAAATGTGATTTTCAAGTAGTCAGAGTCAGTTGTTGATGATTGACTATATGACAATTATTATCGTAAAACAAATTCGTTGGGAGGGTGAGATACAATGTGTTCTTTTGACATGACTATGACTGTGTTTAGGGAAGGGTTCTTGTGTATACCAATAAAACTTAACCTGAGAGTGAGTTTTTGATAAACAAAGAAATATATATATAAAACTTTGAACCTAGCTGAGAATTTTCGTATAAATATACTTTTATCTACTATTAAAATGCTACAGAGATATATTTCTAAGACTTTTTAAACCAAATTTCAGATTAATAAATATTGGCCATACAGATCCTTAAGCCGAAGAGTAGCAAAAACATTTGTAATTCACAGGACATGGATATTTCGGTGTGAATTTATACCATACCTTACCCTTAAAATAGGAAATTTGCATAATTCCATAGGGGATTTTTCATGGACCTTAAGAATGCCGAAAATCGGTGCTACCTGCATTTCGGGAATATACCAAATGGATTAAAGGATGGACGTCTAATAATGTTAAATGGCAATCTACTCAAAGTCATATTGTACATTGTGTTCATCATGGATACTCGTAAATGGAATGAAAGAAAGAAAATAAGCTTTTGATGTTAGGTATGATAGCTTAGATTCACCTGTATCGAATTTTATATAACCATAAGGTACCAGTATTCCCAAAGTAAATCTTATGAATTATGCCGAAGAAATGGCCTAAAGGGGGTTTGACTAACTCCTACCTCCTTTGGTATAACATTTGACTGTGAGCCACTTCGAGCAATCCGGACTCCTAATTCAATCATTCTGATGTTGCTATGTTCGGTAACCCACATTAGAATTTATCTTAACACTGTTAATGATTGCTACTCTATAATACTTTGGAATAAACTGTTGATTAGCTGAGCACACTTGCCTTGGTTTGGCTTTTAGATGTTATTTTACCGAATCATACAGTTCAGCGAACCTCATTTCACCAGGCCAACTTCTTCCCAACAGGGTGTTGCTCTGAGATGGTCCGTCAGAAACTGTGACGTAAATGACATACATTTCCGATGTATAATACATACGTCAGGAACGTCGGAAACCCACCCAAACCATTAGGTTTTTGGGTGGGTTTACTAATACTAATACCAATATTAATACTAATACTAATACCAATACTAATACTAATACCAATTCTAATATTAATACAGCGGATGTGTATTCCGAGCTTGGGCAGGGTTTCGTGATATTTGCTCCCTCTAGCCTGATTAGAGATCAACTGCACATCTTGTTTACACTGACATATTTTCCGAATATCACTCATTTTCACTACAGCCCTTCTAATTAATTGTCCAGATTCCCTTCACCGTGGGTTGTGTTGTGATGTTCGACTCGAAAAAAAACAAAAAAATTAAGTATTCGGTTCACTTTATTCCATAATTATAATCTGATCATCACCAAAAGTTATATGCGTTGTCCTTGACCATAACTGGAACGTCATAGAAAATTTCAAAGCGATCAGAGCTATATTTCCACACAAGTTAGTGTGGTAGTGGGTTACTAAATAATATTTGAATACGTAAACACATGTAAATATTTACGTGTAACTCCCACATCCCAGTACATACGACAATATAATTGGTATCAATTTAAAGGTCCACCACTCCTTTTGGATATACATACGTCAGGAACGTCGGAAACCCACCCAAACCATTAGGTTTTTGGGTGGGTTTACTAATACTAATACCAATACTAATACTAATACCAATATTAATACTAATACTAATACCAATACTAATACCAATACTAATACCAATACTAATACAAATACTAATATTAATACAGCGGATGTGTATTCCGAGCTTGGGCAGGGTTTCGTGATATTTGCTCCCTCTAGCCTGATTAGAGATTAACTGCACATCTTGTTTACACTGACATATTTTCCGAATATCACTCATTTTCACTACAGCCCTTCTAATTAATTGTCCAGATTCCCTTCACCGTGGGTTGTGTTGTGATGTTCGACTCGAAAAAAAACAAAAAAAAAAAAAAAAATAAGTATTCGGTTCACTTTATTCCATAATTATAATCTGATCATCACCAAAAGTTATATGCGTTGTCCTTGACCATAACTGGAACGTCATGGAAAATTTCAAAGCGATCAGCGCTATATTTCCACACAAGTTAGTGTGGTAATGGGTTACTAAATAATATTTGAATACGTAAACACATGTAAATATTTACGTGTAACTCCCACATCCCAGTACATACGACAATATAATTGTTATCAATTTAAAGGTCCACCACTCCTTTTGGATATACTACCAACATCTTGGGTCTATGTCCTTCAGGGGTAAATATATATACGCTTTAGAATACAAATTTTGTTATTTTTTACACAAAAGTCAGGGTCCTTTTGATACACTAAATACTGACCGATAATTATGAAAACAGGCATGCTTATTCTTTTGCCCGATTCCCTCCTCCTTTTGGGTCTGCAGAAAGCTGTAATACCCTGGCAACATAGTTGTGTAGGGTATAAATACTCGCCTTAAAAAATATTCATTCTCAAAAGGCACTTATGGTGCTTTAACATGTATTCATATAAACTCCTCGCCAAAGATCTTCCAGGCTTTTATTATCTTTACAACATATTTATTAAAAAAACAGCACCTGGAGCTGTTACATTCTTTAAAAAAATCATGCTAATGCTCTTGTAGTCCTTTAAGATATATTTATATATAGCTCATAGGGCTCTAATGATCTTTTATGATTTATTCAGAAAAAGTCACCGCTTGAGGTTCTTATGAACCTTAAAATAATGTTTATTAAAAACCTCGTTTAAGGCTCTTATGATCCTGTCAACTCTCGACCAAAGCTTTTATGCCCTTTAAATAGTATGCATATAAAATTGAAGTCAAAGGCTATTCTTGTCTTTTGAAAAATATTCATAAAAATCCACGGCTTCTATAGACCTTCAAAAAATATTCATAAAAATTCAGGCTTCAGTTTTTATGGATAAATAATAAAAAAATGCAATTTCTAAAAACGTACTCTACTCTCCGATTTTATACCTACTACTTCGCCGGACAGTGCGCCTATCACTCTATTTTCGAAACGAGTTAAAGAAGTTGTCTACTTATAATTGTTTTCCGTTTCATACTCTATATTCCCTGCTTGTCATTCCTTAAATTTTCAACTCACCCTCGTCTAAGGAAATCACAAATGATATATATAGTTTGCTTAACAACAATGTAAGCTTACAACAACAATGTTTTTCCTAAAATTTATAACTTTGATGATAATTAAAACAACACTTGCTGGATATACACCTTCTACTTGCCGCTCATTTCCATTCTATCATTGTCCTGGTATACAAAAATTAACTACAAACAAAAAGTGATGAATATGCAATTTAAGTCATGTGGCGTGAATGAAACACAGACTGACTGAGGATAGGTGGTAGTGTGCGTGAATGCAAGGCATTTTTATATACTCTTAATAAATTTGAATATGATTTGATGGCACTCCTTTATTTCTGGTTCTTAAATATAAATATATGTATGCATGCACACACATTCGTACATATTAAAATTACAACAAAACTATTGTAGTTGTATTACTACCTGAAGTCCTGCAAACATAGTCGTCCTAGTGGTCCTTTGTTATTGAGTAAAAATGCATGCATGCCACTATCATAATTGCTGGCTATTGTTGAGCATAGTCACGAACTTAATAGAAACAAACAAAAAACTATTTTTTCATTTACTTCTTTCTTTTTGCTCCCTACATTTTATTTCTCAATTTGTTATTACTTCTATTTAGCTTTTGTTGTCCTTTTTGCTGTTGTTGCCACATTTTGTTGTCATTTGCAGTGAGTGGGTACAATGTGTGATATTTGTTGCTTTACTTTGTTGATTGCGTGACATGATTGTTTGATTGTTGTTGTAGGTGTTTTTTGCTACAACCATTTCATACATAGACACAATACATGTGTATGTGTTGCCATATGTAGCATGAAAGGAATCCTTTTAACTGCTTTATTTAACTCTGGTTTTGTATCCCTCTGTGTGTGTGTCTCTCTCTCTTCCTCCCTCCCCTGGGGTTGGCGCTCTGGGTGCATCTTTGTCTGCTGCAGCGCACTGCCATTGCATTACAACTTTGTCTATAGGCAATGATTGTTGATTTGTATTGTTGAGTTTTTATCTCTTCCCTAATGACAACATGTCTGTGGATTTTTGTAAAAACACTCCAGTACTGATTGGCTTGCTGAGATAAAATGTAAACACATTGTTTTTTGTTGGTCTTAAAATATATTAAATCATCAAATAGTTTTGGGAATTTATTGCAATGGTTGAGTAAAATGCACATACGTACATTATTTATGACTTCCCAAAGAACCGGAAATCAATCGAGACATTTATTTCATGGGTTTTATTTTTGTACTTGCAGGAGCGATGCTTTGGCAACTTTATTCTCAGCACTATATGGCAAATTATTGGTTGTTATGGGTATTGCATTTCCAATGGCTGAAGTTATCTCAACATATATACCACCTTCATTCTACGAGGTAAGTACAAATAACTTGTAATGAAATTTCCCAAATCCACTTTACAACTATATATAACATATATACAACTATATATAATACTTTGTAACTCACTGGGTACCAGATAAAATTCTAATTTCAGCCACTTTGCAATTTCCTATATTTAGTAAATAGTTTTTTTCTAAAAGCAGTTATAATAAAAAAACCAGTAAGGAAAATAGTAAAGTCGGACTGGGCCGCCTTTATGATAGCCTTTATCAATTGGGGTATGTTGTACATATGTATCCTTACAATTTCATGTGACTGTTCCCTCGAAGGAACATGCTCATGTCTGTATGCAACCTATGATAAATTTAATTTCATTCGGGCAGATTGGTGCATCTGCACTAATTTTAACAAAACGCAATAAGGTCATTCAAGTCTCAATTTGATACGTTGTGCAAAATTTCGTGTTAATCGAAGAAACATTAGGAGTTTGGTGAACCATTTAGGTGAACCGATCTGTAAAATCGTACGAATACATATGCATATGTTGGAGTTATATCGAAATCTAAATCGATTTTCCCGCAACTTACCACACATCATTCTAGACTCAATTAAGTATGCTATGCCAAATTTCGTGCAAATCGAAGGATACATAAGCACTTTGATGCACTATTTTCATAAAATCGGACGAAAATATATATGGGAGCTATATCTATATCTGAACAGATTTTCCCGAAACTTATCACTATAGACTTCACATCGAAAACACATCACTATAGACTTCATTCAGTGCGCTATGCTAAATTTCTTGAAATCCAAGGATATATAGGGACTTTGGTGCACTATTTACCTAAAATCGGACGAAAAAATATATGGGAGCTATATCTAAATCTGAACAGATCTTCACGAAATTTAACATAGTACGCTATGTCAAATTTCGTGCAAATCCAAGGATATATAGTTACTTTGGTGCACTATTTACATAAAATCGGACGCAAATATATATGGGAGCTATATAGAAATCTGAACCGATTTTCCACGCCTTGCAATAAACCTTGAAAAAAATATTCTTAAAAAAATCCACGCCTTGTAATAACCCTTGCACAAAATATTCTTAAAAAAATCCAAGCCTTGTAATAACCCATGAAAAAAATATTCTTAAAAAAATCCAAGCCTTGTAATAACCCTTGAAAAAAATCCACGCCTTGTAATAACCCTTGAAAAAATATTCGTTAAAAAATCCACGCCTTGTAATAACCCATGAAAAAAATATTCTTAAAAAAATCCAAGCCTTGTAATAACCCTTGAAAAAAATCCACGCCTTGTAATAACCCTTGAAAAAATATTCGTTAAAAAATCCACGCCTTGTAATAACCCTTGAAAAAAATATTCTTTAAAAAATTTCCGCCTTGTAATAACCCTTGAAAAATATTCTTTAAAAAAATCCACGCCTTGTAATAACCCTTGAAAAAATATTCTTTAAAAAATCTTGAAGAAATATTCTTTAAAAAATCCACGCCTTGTAATAACCCTTGAAGAAATCCCACGCCTTGTAATAATCCTTGAAGAAATATTCTTTAAAAAATCCACGCCTTGTAATAATCCTTGAAGTAATATTCTTTAAAAAATCTTGAAGAAATATTCTTTAAAAAATCCACGCCTTGTAATAATCCTTGAAGTAATATTCTTTAAAAAATCTTGAAGAAATATTCTTTAAAAAATCCACGCCTTGTAATAATCCTTGAAGAAATATTCTTTAAAAAATCCACGCCTTGTAATAATCCTTGAAGAAATATTCTTTAAAAAATCCACGCCTTGTAATAATCCTTGAAGAAATATTCTTTAAAAAATCCACGCCTTGTAATAATCCTTGAAGAAATATTCTTTAAAAAATCCACGCCTTGTAATAATCCTTGAAGAAATATTCTTTAAAAAATCCACGCCTTGTAATAATCCTTGAAGAAATATTCTTTAAAAAATCCACGCCTTGTAATAATCCTTGAAGAAATATTCTTTAAAAAATCCACGCCTTGTAATAATCCTTGAAGTAATATTCTTTAAAAAATCTTGAAGAAATATTCTTTAAAAAATCCACGCCTTGTAATAATCCTTGAAGAAATATTCTTTAAAAAATCCACGCCTTGTAATAATCCTTGAAGAAATATTCTTTAAAAAATCCACGCCTTGTAATAATCCTTGAAGAAATATTCTTTAAAAAATCCACGCCTTGTAATAATCCTTGAAGAAATATTCTTTAAAAAATCCACGCCTTGTAATAATCCTTGAAGAAATATTCTTTAAAAAATCCACGCCTTGTAATAATCCTTGAAGAAATATTCTTTAAAAAATCCACGCCTTGTAATAATCCTTGAAGAAATATTCTTTAAAAAATCCACGCCTTGTAATAATCCTTGAAGAAATATTCTTTAAAAAATCCACGCCTTGTAATAATCCTTGAAGAAATATTCTTTAAAAAATCCACGCCTTGTAATAATCCTTGAAGAAATATTCTTTAAAAAATCCACGCCTTGTAATAATCCTTGAAGAAATATTCTTTAAAAATCCACGCCTTGTAATAATCCTTGAAAAAATATTCTTTAAAAAATCCACGCCTTGTGATAATCCTTGAAAAAATATTCTTTAAAAAATCCACGCCTTGTAATAACCCTTGAAAAATAAATATTTTTTTTTAAATTTTGATATCGAATGTAGTATTAGAGTTTTCTATAACAGATCCTAATTTCAATCCTGGTGTATATATATATTATAGAGCTGAAACCCGTACTACCTGGGCTGGATACCTGGTATGTTTGAGCAATTTCCGAAATAAAATACCCAATCCAAATGTCAAGCTTGACTTCATTCATCATTCTTTCCTGTACACTACTTCTGTATTAAGTACTATTAAGTAAGAAGTAGTGTATATAGTTAATTTTATCTTTATGTGCCGAATTGATTGTTTATTGAAGTAAAACAAATAAACAGATTTAAAAACCAATACCTAACATGATTTTTTATTTAAAATAAAAAAATCCCAAATTTTATTGGCAAATTTTACAAAAATACCAGGCGCCCAGAATCAAATAGCATGTTGCCCGCCAAAAAACAGGATAATAATTTTCTTAACAACTAAACCGACTTATTTGCTCTCTGTATTGCAATCCTTCCTTGTAGAATTTTATGATTGAGGGAACAGCATGAATCCCAATGGTATAATTTTAGTTATGGGCGGGGGCCTGCCATATTTTCAACTTAGTTGTAGGTCGATAAGTTTCGATTGTCATCATACGAAAATCCGAGCAGATATAAAATTCATAATAATCTGGAATGAAAAAATAAAATAAAATATAAATTAAAAATATATTTTTACGATGTTTTTATTATCAACGCCCATACGAAACGGCTGGAGGTAGAATCGTGAAATTTGGGGTGAGGGACACTCACTATAGGCTGGGTTTTTGGAAATTCGGAATTTTTGTATAACCTCGTAACATGTGAATGGATAGAACTAAAATCTGGACATTTGGAATGCGAATTAAGGTTGAGAAGTAGGGTCGATATGCTATGATTTTGAAAATGTGTACTCATGTATACGAAAAGTACTATATTTGGTACAAATTTAATATGGAGGTACACATCGAGCTGGAATTTTGAAATTAGCATTACCGTCGGAGTGTAGGATTGGGATATGTAAGTATTTTTTAGACATTTTTTACTTATGTACGAAAAATACTAAATCGTGTTATAATTGGTACAATTTGGATTTGGTTGAACCGATAAAGCTGGAACAGTGAAATTTTGAGTCAGTATACTGAAATCTTGATTTAGGATCACTGTGTAGGTTTGGGTTAAGTAGGAAGTTTTGGAAGTTAGTACTACTATGTACTAAATTTGGTACAATTTGAATTGTGGGTGAAGCGATAGAGTTTTAATACTGAAACTTGGATTTAGGATCACTGAGGGTAAAGTAGGAAGTTTTGGAAATTCGTACTACTGTGTACTGAATTTGGTACAATGTGAATTGTGGGTGAACCGATAGAGTTGGAATCCTGAAACTAGGACAATTTGATTTGTGGGTGAACCAATTGTCCTGGAATCATGAAAGTTGGAGTTAGGATCATTTTTGGGATGTAGGATTGGGAATTGGGATATGTAGAAAATTTTGGAAATTCGTACTAATGTGTACTAAATGGTACCAAATGTGGATTTGGGTTTACCGATAAAGCTGGATCCCTGAAATTTGGAAATAAGGTTACTGTTGGAGTATAATATACTTATGGACACTAAATTTGGTACAAACTTTGGGTAAACTGATAGAGCTGGGATCCTGAAATTTGGAGTTAGGATCATTGTTGGAGTGTACGATTGGGATATGTAGGAAACTTTGAAAATTCTTACTAATGTGTACTAAATGGTACCAAATTTGGATTCAAGTGAACCGATAGAGTTGGAATCTTGATATGTGGTGTTAGGATCACTTTTGGGGTGTTGGAATGGGGTATGTAGGACGTTTTGGAAATGAGTAGTAAATGGCACTAAATTTTGTACAATTTGGATTAAGAGTTAACCGAATGAGTTGAAATCCTTAAATTGGGTAATCAGAAAAAAAGTAGATTATTTACTCTTTCATATGACACCCGTTTTGTTGAAATGCGACTCTCTGTTCAAAAGTTATGCGGTTTGAAACGGATATCATGCACATCAGGTCCATCAATAGATGGCGCTGACGACGGTATTGTAAAAATTAATGTCATTTCGGTTGAAAAATGTAGATACGACTATAAAAAAACAATGAAGCGGTACCTTTATATGGAAGCTAGAAAAAAATTGTCCAATATCCCAAGAATTGTTTTTCTTTTTTTATCCTATGAGAAAGTGAAATACCAAAACACAGCCACGTTGGTTGGAATATTCGGCTAGGACCTACAAAATATCTAAAATCATGCGGGACACTTATATATATATATAGGGACTAAAGTCAAAACATATACCCCATATGTTAATAAATATCTGCCAAGAGGTGGTATTTTATTCTT